GCAAGAAGGTCCTGGGTTCGAATCCCGGCCGGACCAGGGCCTTTCTGAGTGGAGTTTGCATGTTCTCCCCGTGTCTGCGTATACGTTTCCTCTGGGTCCTCCGGTTTCCCCTACCACTAAAAATATGTACAATAGGTCTGGCATGTGCCTCCTGTACTGGCGACCCCACTCCCATCTCTGTGTGGAGTGAGTGGACCAATGCCCAAAAAAATAATAACAATTGTAAACCGCTTTGAGACTCTGGTCTGTGAAAGGCGATATGAGTGTGTTCACAGTAAAGTGACAATTGAAGTATCTGGACTTTAAAAGGTTATAACTTAAAAACTAAAATTACTTTCATAGATTGGAAAAAAGATTTCAAACACAAACACATTGAAGAGATAGTGTGGAAAAAATTAAAAGGAAAGATTGACATAAAAATGTTTAGCAACATTTTAAACGACCAAATTAGCCTCTGATTGGACCATTCTACTGCGACGCCAGTTACATAGAAAATAAAATGTCCTCAGTCTGAAAAAGCAGAAGATGAAATCCCACAAGATTTACATGGTTACCACAACAGAAGGAAATCACTTGATATAAAAAGGAATCGTAAAAATATAAAAAAGAATTAATTAATTAAATGACCCCTGAAAAATGTATAACGGACTCTAAAAATTAAACTTGAGAAGAAAAAAAATCTGGTCTGTTTTCACATTTAATTGCTTGACAATATGAAAGTATCACTTTGCATCTACTTTGTGTAAAAAAGTAGAATCTCTGAATCAAATGTGGACATCTGAAAATACCTATCAAACTTCCACAAAGCTCATTCCGTCAAATCATCACGTCCGTTAGACAAAATAAACAGGGCCGCTATAGGAAACTTGTCTAATGTATAAAACAGTTTTGTTCTAGCAACTTCTAATGGACAGAGGAGGTGCTTGGAAACATGAAAAACATAAAATATCTTCTGATTATTAAAATCTAATTTTTGGCCTTTTGTCACACTTTTGTGCCCTTTAGTGTGAACAAGCCCATAAATAAATAAAGATTACTTACTCATTCACTGCCATTGACGTTTATGGACATCATTCAGCGCCACCTACAGGAACGTTGATCTTATCTTAATCTTTCAATCAGGATTCAGAGCTCATCGTGGACTGGAACAGCACGAGTCGAAGTCACATGACTCCTGCTGCTGATAATGTCAGAGTCAGTGTTGGTCCGACTGGACTCAGCAGCGTTCGACACAATCGACCACAACATTCCACTGCGGAGGCTAAAATGAGACATCACTCAGAGGAACAGCCCTTAGCTTAAAATCATGTTTATCGTACTGGTATCAGTTTATTTTAATAACAAAAACTGTAAAAGTGAAATTGGGTGTGCCACAAGGATCGGTACTTGGGCTGATTCTTTACCTGCTGCTGTTAAACAACATTATTAAAATGCATGATATAAACTTCAACTGCTGCAGCTTTACCGTCGAACCCAGACAGATCGGTTTTTTATTTTTTTTATTTCACTTTTTTTTAACCAGGAAAGTCCCATTGAGATTAAGAACCTCTTTTTCAAGGGAGTCATGGACAAAAGTTACATACAGTCACATACATACAGATTATCAGAATCAGAATCAGAATCAGAATCATTTTTATTGCCAACGTAAGTAACGGGAGGTCACAGACTTGGAAATTGCTTTGGCTCAGTGCAACAGTCAAAAAGAGATAATAAAAATAAGAATAAAAAACACTTCTAAAGAATAAATTTAAATTTAAAATAGAGTTACAGTTACTATTTACAATATACAAGTGCACATGGTGCACACAATGTAAGGTGACAGCAGTACAGTGAAGTAAAGTGACGTATGATGGGCAGTAAAGTGACTTTATAAAGGGCGGGGGGACAGGTTAAGAAGTGTTCAAGAGTCCAACAGCAGAGGGGAAGAAACTGTTCTTGTGGCGGGAGGTTCTAGTCCTGATGGACCGCAGCCTCCTGCCTGAGGGGAGTGGTTGGAATAGTCCATGTGCAGGGTGAGAGGGGTCGGCTGTGATACGACCAGCCCGGCCTCGAGCTCGGGCGACGTACAGGTCCTGCAGCGATGGAAGGCTGCGGCCGATCACTTCCTCTGCAGAGCGCACAATGCGCTGTAGTCTCTGTTTGTCCCTGACTGTGGCTCCAGCGAACCACACGGTGATGGAGGAGGTGAGGATGGACTCGATGATGGCCGTGTAGAACTGCACCAACATCTGTGCAGGCAGCTTGGCTTTCCTGAGCTGCCGCAGGAAGTACATCCTCTGCTGGGCCTTCTTGATGAGGGAGCTGATGGTCGGCTCCCACTTGAGGTCCTGGGTGATGGTGGTGCCCAGGAAACGGAAGGACTCCACAGAGGTGATGGGGGAGTCCATCACGGAGGGTGGGGGCGGGGGGACAGTGCTCTTCCTGAAGTCCACAATCATCTCCACTGTCTTCTGGGCGTTCAGCTCCAGGTTGTTACCACTGCACCAGGACACCAGCCGGTCCACCTCCCTCCTGTAGGCGGACTCATCGTTGTTGGAGATGAGTCCAATGAGGGTGGTGTCGTCCGCGAACTTGATCAGCTTCACGGAGTCGTGGCTGGAGGTGCAGTGGTTGGTGTACAGGGAGAAGAGCAGGGGAGAAAGAACACAGCCCTGTGGGGCTCCTGTATTTATAATCCAAGGGTCCGAGACATTCTTCCCCAGACGCACTCGCTGCTTCCTGTCCGTCAGGAAGTCAGTGATCCACCTGCAGGTGGAATCGGGCACGTTGAGCTGGGAGAGCTTGTCCTGGAGCAGGGATGGCAGGATTGTGTTGAAGGCAGAGCTGAAGTCCACGAACAGGACCCTGGCGTAGGTCCCCGGGGAGTCCAGGTGCTGTCGCAAAATCCAGCCGCAACGATCTTAACGATCTTAACGATCTTAACAATCTTAACGATCTTAACGATCTTAACAGGGAGGGATCCAAAAGGAGGGAGCACATAAGTCCAGTGTTAAAATCACTCCGCTGGATTCCTGTGGAGTATAGACAAAAACAAGGCCATAAATGACATTGGTGGACGTTTAAGCACTTTATCTGTCATCTTTATGACTTCAGTTCCTGGTCTTTGGGGTTAGGTTTAGAAAGAGCTAAATGTGACAAAGGCCAAAAAAGAAAATTGTTTTTGAACTCAAAGTCAGAGAAGGCCAAATGTCGGTGGCTCGCTACAGATTTAGACTAAAAATAACTATGGTCATGGGTGTTTCTAAACTTTGTCAGCAACATTGACAATTGCAGAGACTTCTTCCCTCTCTGCCTCTCTCCCCTCTCTCACCTCTGTCTGCCTCTCTCCCCTCTCTCACCTCTGTCTGCCTCTCTCCCCATCTCTCTGCCTCTCCCTTCTCTCCCCTCTCCCCCCTCTCTCTGCCTCTCTCCCCTCTCTCACCTCTCTCTGCCTCTCTCCCCATCTCTCTGCCTCTCCCCTCTCTCACCTCTGTCTGCCTCTCTCCCCTCGCTCACCTCTGTCTGCCTCTCTCCCCTCTCTCACCTCTGTCTGCCTCTCTCCCCATCTCTCTCTGCCTCTCCCTCTCTCCCCTCTCCTTCTGTCTCTACCTCTGTCTGCCTCTCTCCCCCTCTCTCTGCCTCTCTCACCTCTGTCTGCCTCTCTCCCCTCTCTCACCTCTGTCTGCCTCTCTCCCCTCTCTCTTGCCTCTCTCCCCTCTCTCTGCCTCTCCCCCCTCTCTCTGCCTCTCTCCCCCCTCTCCCTGCCTCTCTCCCCTCTCTCACCTCTGTCTGCCTCTCTCCCCTCTGTCTGCCTCTCTCCCCATCTCTCTGCCTCTCCCTTCTCTCCCCTCTCCCTTCTGTCCCCTCTCTAACCTCTGTCTGCCTCTCTCCCCCTCTCTGCCTCTCTCACCTCTGTCTGCCTCTCTCTGCCTCTCTCCCCTCTCTCACCTCTGTCTGCCTCTCTCTCCCCTCTCTCTGCCTCTCTCCCCTCTCTCTGCCTCTCTTCCTCTCTCCCTCTCACCTCTGTCTGCCTCTCTCCCCTCTGTCTGCCTCTCTCCCCTCTCTCTGCCTCTCTCCCCTCTCTCTGCCTCTCTCCCCTCTCTCACCTCTGTCTGCCTCTCTCCCCTCTCTCACCTCTGTCTGCCTCTCTCCCCTCTCTCTGCCTCTCTCCCCTCTCTCACCTCTGTCTGCCTCTCTCCCCTCTCTCACCTCTGTCTGCCTCTCTCACCTCTGTCTGCCTCTCTCCCCTCTCTCACCTCTGTCTGCCTCTCTCCCCTCTCTCTGCCTCTCTCCCCTCTCTCACCTCTGTCTGCCTCTCTCCCCTCTCTCACCTCTGTCTGCCTCTCTCACCTCTCTCTGCCTCTCTCCCCTCTCTCTGCCTCTCTCCCCTCTCTCACCTCTGTCTGCCTCTCTCCCCTTTCTCACCTCTGTCTGCCTCTCTCCCCTCTCTCTGCCTCTCTCCCCTCTCTCTGCCTCTCTCCCCTCTCTCACCTCTGTCTGCCTCTCTCCCCTCTCTCTGCCTCTCTCCCCTCTCTCTGCCTCTCTCCCCTCTCTCTGCCTCTCTCCCCTCTCTCTGCCTCTCCCCCCCTCTCATCTTCTCTCTCCTCCTCCCTGTGAACGTTCCAGACATTGGGGATTGTTTTCTCCTCCAGCTCCCACACATTACCGAGTGTGTTGACTCCTCCGTGGCCTCCTCCTGCTCCTGGTGATTCGGTGTCACCCTGAGCCCCATCTCGGCACCAAAACAAATAGTTGGAAACACAGGCGGCAGATTGGAGATTCCATCGCTGTCTCCTCTCATCTGAAAGCTGATTGGTTGATGAGATTGCAGGGCGGGAGTGAGGAAATCAATGTTCCACAAGACTACACTTTGATTAGCACAAATAAATCTCTATTAAAGAAATGCCAAGTGCGTAATTAGGCAGCGGAATAAGGAGCGTGGGATGAGGTGGTGGAAGGTAAACTAAAGGACACCGGGGTGGGGGAGGAAGGGGGAGGAAGGGGGAGGAAGGGGGAGGATGGGGGGTGGGTGGGGGGGTGCTTTAGTCTGGTAGAGAAAACTTCAAGATGGCAGAACACTCTATGAAAGCTCTTTGGAAATCTCAATATCGATTTGAAACCGTTAAAAAAACTTGAAAATGGAGGCGAGTTGTTTAAACCTGCGTCGAATTCGAATCACACACAGAAACTTCTCCAAATAACAATAAAACCACCGTTTGCGGCCCAGGACCCAGGAATCTGTTTATTGTTCAGGAACAGTACAAGCGTTTAGGAGCATCAAGCACGACGAGGTCAGTGTTAGTTATTATCTGTTATTATAATAAATACTTTATAAATATATTCTAATCTTTGTTGTTGTTGTTGTGTCGTCGCGTAAGACCTAAACTGCAAATACAATCGTTTTATCAAAAAGTTAGTTACAAAAGGCTTTTAGCATCGAGGACGGCTCTGAGAATACGTTCTGTGTCAGACTTTGTGACCTTTGGCAGCGGAGAATCTAATCCATGTTGAAGTTGGAGTTTGTGGAAGTTGCTGAATCTTCTCAAAGCTCAGGTTAAAGGTCCATGTTTCACAGTCCATCCTCAGCACATGTGATACACAACACTCAAAACCTGTCAAATTAGACGGATAGATTGATAGATTCATTGATCCCCATCTGAGAAATGCACGTGTCCAGTAGCAGCAGAAACACATCCATCCATGCACACAAACAGATACAAAAACAAATAAATTGGTCATTCTAAAAAGCTAATAACAGTATTAATCAGCATCAGTCCTTCAGGTCTGGTCTGGACCAGTGTAAAACCATGAATCCTCTCTGCTCTGGTCTGGACCAGTGTAAAACCATGAATCCTCTCTGCTCTGGTCTGGACCAGTGTAAAACCATGAATCCTCTCTGCTCTGGTCTGGACCAGTGTAAAACCATGAACACTGAACTGCAGAAACATCTCAGGTAGAAAAGTAACAATTGTAAAACACAAAACAACTGTTTCAGAGACACTTAGGACTTGCAGCCGTTTCCAGAACATTCTAAAGTAAGTAAGACATCTGTGCAGATAGTCACCTCTATTGGAACCAGGGGAGTCTGCTCCTCTGCCCGTGACCCTGCCCCCCCCCCCACCCTCACCCGCCTCGCCCCTGCCTTCACGATGACGTAACCTAGCTAACTGTAGCTTTTGCCGGTACAGAGTCATTTCAGACCTGAGAATGAACTTTTTCTAACAATGATTCGTCACATAGAGCCTTATGTCCACACGGCGAGTTAGCATCACTGTACTCACAGAGGCTCCTGTTAGCGTCTTTTATGTTGGAATAAAACCAGGCAGATTCCCGTGAACAAAGTCGATCCTCGTTCTCCGTCTTCGGGAAAATACTCTCGTCACATATTTACACCAACAACACATTTTCTCCAAGTCTCATGAAGCGAACACAGAAAAGCACAGATGTATTTACAATTGACGACACTGATTCACTGGTTCAGTTTCTCCACCTGTCAATCACCTCTTGGAGGCGGGGCTTTTGTCGTCACGGATTGTGCCACGTCACGATTGAAACAAGGCATTTCTTGTACCTCTGAAGAATGGACGAGAAGTATCGCTCAATCAATGAAAAAACTACTCTGGGCCAAACAGCACTGTCATGATGTTTAAATCAGAGAAAAGTCAAATATTTTAATATGGCACATTAAAGGTTTAGGACAGGGGTGGCCAACCAGTCAGAGACTAAGAGCCAATTTTTTTACCGTGTTACAGCAAAGAGCCACATCATACAAATGTGCACTACATAAACATCACCCCAACCCTTACACACGCACGCACATGCGCACGTACGCACACGAGCAGACACGCGCACACACATGCAATTTATTGTAAATGTCATCAACATGATAATGACAGAAGTTGACTCGTACAGCACTAAAGGGCTGGACTCGACTCTCCCCGGTTTGCGGGCGCTTCTACCGCTCTCTTCAACCGCTCCCCGGTACTTTTTATTAATGGTTTGGCCCTGGTTCTAACCGGGCGAGTCGATACCAGAACAATTTCACGTCAGCGAACATCAATTATGATTCCGAAATGAATGCTTTCAATCTCTAACCAAGAAAAAAAAATCAAGTTTCAACCCAGTATTCAGCAGAAACACAACTGTCTTCATCGAACCATGATTCACTCTGACTGTGTTTAGTAAAAGATATAGATGTGACACATAACACCAACACCACGTTAGCTGATTTAGAACCACAGACACATGTTCAGTGTAAGACCAGATACTTTTGCATTTGATTGAAGACAGACACTCACCAGGCAGAGTTGGCTTATCTCCTGGTGTAACGCTAGCTGGTGCTAGCTGAATTTAGCATGTTAGCCGGTGTTAGCCGGTGTTAGCCGATGTCCGTAAATGTAATCCATTTGGTCAAACCACCTCCAGACTTTTCGGGTCTGCCTCTACTTCTGCTGCTGCGATCTTTCATTTCACGGTTGTCACTTTTAAGCTTTTTAACTTTTCTCTGCATTGTCATGTTTGTGGGAATCATTCTGCTCCGTCCTTAGTGCTAGCTCCACAAACACCTTCTGGTTTCTGGTGGAACCATCGAGCTCACGCTGGTGTCCTCTCCTCAAACTGAGGAAGGTGTTGCCCTCATCCAGCGACCAAGGAATTGTTTTCCGTACGGACGTCATGGGTCGAGGCAACATGTTGTTTGTTATGATGTTTGCAACAGCTGAGGCAGCGGCTGCAGAGTGATTGACAGCGCATCTGACCAATCAGAATTGACGTTCGCCGACGTCAGATTGTTTTGGTGGCCTGGCTAGTGGAGTGAAGTCGGCCTTTACTATGGGTCAGAACTACATAGAGAATGAATGGCAGCACCACCACCGAGGCGTTTTTGACGCTTGTCGTGTGGAAGCCCGAGAGCCGCACGGAATCAGCCAAAGAGCCGCATGCGGCTCACGAGCCGCGGGTTGGCCACCCCTGGTTTAGGACAATCCTGGGACGGTCAAGAAAAAGAGACTCTCTCTGTCTGTCTTTTGCCTTTTCCTCCCTGACCCATGTTGGGTCATTCAATCAATCAATCAATCAATCAATCAATCAATCAATCAATCAATCAATCAATCAATCATGGGTCAGTGGAGGAAAAATGCACTGGGAAGAGAGAGTTTTAAGAGATAAAGAACCAATTTCCCTACGGGGACAATAAAGTACGATTTAACATCCATCCATCCATCCATCCATTTTCTACCCTTTAATCCATTTCTGGGTCAGGGGGGTGGCAGTCAGAGATGCCACCCAAGTCTCATAGCACCAGCCCCTCACTGACCCTCTGCAGGTGGTGAGTCCACAGGAGGACGGCTGCTCTCTGAGTGTGAGCATAGCCTTGATCTTTCAGTGGGGGCTTTGGGCAAAGTGGGGTTAAGTGTCTTGCCCAAGGACACAACGACAGCAGTCATCAGTGGGAGTCGGTGGAGAAGGTGTAGAGGTGGGAATTGAACCCACGACCTTCAGGCCTGAAGGGCAATGCTCTACCAACTGAGCTACTGTCGCGATTTAACATAACTAATTAAATCTGTGAATCTGCTGCAAATGGCAAAGATCAGGGAGAAGAGGTCACATGTTTTATTGTTTTTCTCTGTGTGGACCTCCCTGAGGTTTGTGAGGTTTGTTAGAGTGGTTCCTTTCTGATGCAGGAGGCTCAAAGGACTCTGGTCTCTGCTCCTTTTGACCAATGTGTTTTTATCATTGTATTTCGTGTGTTTGAACTGTTTATTCTCTGATCTGTGTTGAAGAATTCAGTCCTCTGAGATCACTACTGTTGTGATTTAGGGCGATGTAAGAATATATTAAATTGAATATTAATCCAATCCCCTCCAAAAAAGAAAGTATTTAGATTGTGTAATATAGGCTATATGTATATATATATATGCTACATGTATAGTTTATATATATATATATTAGTACATCGAGTCCCCTGAAATTGCTCTTGTACTTGTATATCTTCGTACAAAGCAGTGTTGTGTGTATCTGACCGATGTCTCTGGACAGAAGTGGGAGATGGTAAGTGAGCGTAACCAACCCGCCGCTGGATCCATAACAGACGCAGATCAATCAGAAAAGTTGTAATGTGTTATTGAGGAGATTGACTCGTTTGTCCAATTACAGAAGAGGCAGCGCTCAGCTCTTTTCAGACGCCCACTCGTCTCCAGAGGGTCTCTCCTACCGACCACTTCCCATCGTTACCGACTATAATCATTATCACCTTCTCAGACAGATCTGCTCATTCATTTCAATGGGAAATCAGGTGTTCGACTGACTCATGTTCAAACACTTCTATTTACAACTGTTGAACGGATCAGAGTCTGAGGCCAGCGGAGAAGGATATTAGTGATCCTAACAAAGAGCAGCTAATAAGAAACAGATGAGGGGGTGCCAGAAGAACCACTACCAACATGCTTTTATCCTCCACAGATGAGAAGCTCCTGTTCCTGTGGACTAGGGAGAACGGTTTGGGGACCACAGGGGCCAGAGGGAGAACGGTTTGGGGACCACAGGGGCCAGAGGGAGAACGGTTTGGGGACCACAGGGGCCAGAGGGAGAACGGTTTGGGGACCACAGGGGCCAGAGGGAGAACGGTTTGGGGACCACAGGGGCCAGAGGGAGAACGGTTTGGGGACCACAGGGGCCAGAAGGAGAACGGTTTGGGGACCACAGGGGCCAGAGGGAGAACGGTTTGGGGACCACAGGGGCCAGAGGGAGAACGGTTTGGGGACCACAGGGGCCAGAAGGAGAACGGTTTGGGGACCACAGGGGCCAGAAGGAGAACGGTTTGGGGACCACAGGGGCCAGAAGGAGAACGGTTTGGGGACCACAGGGGCCAGAGGGAGAACGGTTTGGGGACCACAGGGGTCAGAGGGAGAACGGTTTGGGGACCACAGGGGCCAGAAGGAGAACGGTTTGGGGACCACAGGGGCCAGAGGGAGAACGGTTTGGGGACCACAGGGGTCAGAGGGAGACCGCAGTATTTCATCATGTTGTCCTGTTGGCTTCAATCTGCACTGGGACGATTTGCAGCAGAGTAAAGTGGCACCTTCAAGTCTCTCTCCAGGAGCAGAGGTCTCTCCCCAGGAGCAGAGGTCTCTCTCCAGGAGCAGAGGTCTCTCTCCAGGAGCAGAGGTCTCTCTCCAGGAGCAGAGGTCTCTCTCCAGGAGCAGAGGTCTCTCTCCAGGAGCAGAGGTCTCTCCCCAGGAGCAGAGGTCTCTCCCCAGGAGCAGAGGTCTCTCTCCAGGAGCAGAGGTCTCTCTCCAGGAGCAGAGGTCTCTCCCCAGGAGCAGAGGTCTCTCTCCAGGAGCAGAGGTCTCTCTCCAGGAGCAGAGGTCTCTCCCCAGGAGCAGAGGTCTCTCTCCAGGTCCTTCCTCAAGTCGAGGAGTTCAAGGACCTCAGAATCAGAATAATTTATTAATGACCACACAACAAGTTGGTGGAATTTGTTTCCGGTATAGCAGGTGCACAATGTGAACTTGACTTATTAGATTAACACAAAAACCAAAACCCCACAGAGTCTTGAGCGTCTGGCAGAGGAATGACTGACATGTCCCAGGGGGCGGGTCTTAACAGTGTCTTGTATATATCTGACAAAAGCCTCATGCTGTAATAACGCTGCTGCTGTTTATGACTGTGTTTTAATAACCACCAGAGGAGTGTGATTCAAAAGTCCCACTTTAATTACATCGAGACAGGGCTCCCTGTGCAGCTGCGGACCACTGCACCGATCCCCACCGCAATTAAATCACTCTGACACAAAAACAAGGCAAATGAGCAGTAAATGAAAACCACCAACAGCATATTAAAACAGATCAACTGCAGGAGCAGCTTTCATTATTGCCTCATGCTAATTAAACAGGACCTGCGGCTTCTTTGTTCAGTAGGATCCTGAATATGATTAGTGAGAGATTGGCATATTTACTACTAAAGTTATTATCCATTACCCTAACTCTAACTGTAACCATAACCCGAACCCAGAAGGACATGTTTTTGTCCAGGGGGTCACTCTCATTTTGGTCAGGAGCCGAACTACACAAAGATAGAAGCTAGTCTGGGCCAAAAGACTAGCTTACCCTGTTCTTACCATGTGTAAACTCTGGTCCATGGTCATTTCCTACATGTACATCTGGTCTTACCATGTGTAAACTCTGGTCCATGGTCATTTCCTACATGTACATCTGGTCTTACCATGTGTAAACTCTGGTCCATGATCATTTCCTACATGTACGTCTGGTCTTACCATGTGTAAACTCTGGTCCATGGTCATTTCCTACATGTACGTCTGGTCTTACCATGTGTAAACTCTGGTCCATGGTCATTTCCTACATGTACGTCTGGGTCTGATCCTAGTGGCTGCAGTTTCCTCGGTTGAATCCTCTCCGACCAATCAGAGAGCGGGGGAGGCGGGTGTTGTAGGTCGGTGTCGGTGACTTCAAGAGTTTGTGCTGAATTTTCTGGTTGTAGTTTGTCGGAGAATGCGATAGTAAAATAATCTGTTCTGGTTCAATCCAAATATCAAGAAACTGAAGCCGGAGCAAGAGGAATGTTTAGTAAATGTCATTGAAGCAAAGATGTCGTGGCTCTACTCCCCACAGACTCATATTGTTATTTTTTAAATTATAAAAGTATTTATGGTTACAGGAGGGTCCTAAACTAGTAGTTTCAGTGACAGACTTATTCACCCTTGCTGTGTGAGGGAGAGGTTCTGCAGGTCTTTCCTTCTTGCTGCTGTCAGACTGTACAATGAGAACTGCTGAGTCTGTACCTTTCATTCATCTGTAAACAGTAAACACTACAATCATGTGCAATACTTTAGTATGTCGCTGAAAGTTACTTTATCTACTTATTATCCTGCCAGATATGTATATAGTATATGTTTGTTAACATCTATATCTATATCTATACTAGGGCCTGGTACCGCAGGTCTTGGTCCTGTCCTGCTCTTGTCTCAGTCCTCTTATAACATTAGAGCGCCCCCCAGTGGATACATGTACACATTACACCATTAAACCATTAAACATATTTGGTTTCTATTTTCTGTTAGGGACTATTGTGGTAAACTGGAATAAGTTCAAACACTAAACCATATCCCTAAACCGAGAAATTGACTCAACACAAGAATAACTGATCCTAGTCCTGGTTCTAGTAAATTTCTGGTCCTGTTCTGGTCCTGTCCTGGTCCTGTCTTGGTCCTGTCCTGGTCCTGTCCTGGTCCTGTCCTGGTCCTGTCCTGGTCCTGTCCTGGTGCTGTCCTGGTTCTGTCCTGGTCCTGTCCTGGTCCTGTCCTGGTCCTGTCTGGTTCTGTCCTGGTCCTGTCCTGGTCCTGTCCTGGTCCTGTTTTGGTTCTATTTGGTTCTGTCCTGGTCCTGTCCTGGTCCTGTCCTGGTCCTGTCCTGGTCCTGTCTGGTTCTGTCCTGGTCTTCCCAGCCTCACCTCTGGTCCTGGGGAATGACCGAAAGGACCAGATCTCAGATTCAAGGACGTCAGTGTTTCAGGGAACTATTGTACCTGTTTTTTGTGGCAGAGTAAACCAGAGCACCTGGAGGAAACCTACACTGACACAGGGAGAACATGCAACACAGACCTGTTTTAACTGGACACAACATGATTGAATGTTAATGATCCCAGCTCTCTGTAAATCCAGGCTGTTCTGAGTCAAAGTAACACGTTCTTAAACTCTCTGACAACACTGACATCTAGTGGACAAATCTAACACATGCAGCTTCTGAACAGCAGCGGTTTCACTTTTTAAAGTCCTTTAATAATAATTCACAGAAATGTACATAAATAATTATCATGGATATAAATAACATCAATAATAATATCTGCAATGATCAATGTTTACAAATGTTTACAAATGGTTATTTACATGTATTTTAAAAGACTGTTCCATGGGAGGTGATGTGTGTCGCTGCTGTTTGAGTTGTGTCATTATTTTCTGTGTGTGTTGTGGTGCTGTCAATGAAAGTGTGTGATGTTGTTCCATTATCAAAACCCTCAAACAATTGTTTTGTGGTTTAAATTTCACACCATTTGATCTTGTCTCAGAACTCTGACAGAGATCCTACTGCAGCAGAACATGTGTTGGCTTTGCAGCATTCTCTTGTGCATTTCCTTCTACAGACATGTTTAAAAAGGCACCGACACGTTTAGTCTGTGTCGCTTTATCTGCAAGGTGGAGAGCGCACATCCGAAATGTAAACGTTTCATGACAGGAAGTTAAAGGTAAGGTAAAATAAAACAAGGGCTTTTCAAAATAAAACAAGCACCGACACAATTCAAAGTGTATTACAAAACACAAAACAAAGTCAATTATTAGTTATGAGAAAACTGATATTAACACTGTTGAATACAAGTCTGTTTACATCTACAACCATTTACATTTCTCCCTCTGGTCTCTCTCTGGTCTCCCTCTATGGTCTCTCTCTGTGGTCTCTCTCTGGTCTCTCTCTGGTCTCTCTCTGGTCTCTCTCTCTGGTCTCCCTCTATGGTCTCTCTCTGTGGTCTCTCTCTGGTCTCTCTCTGGTCTCTCTCTGGTCTCTCTCTCTGGTTTCTCTCTGGTCTCCCTCTATGGTCTCTCTCTGTGGTCTCTTTCTGGTCTCTCTCTGGCCTCTCTGGTCTCTCTCTCTGGTCTCTCTCTCTGGTCTCTCTCTCTGGTCTCTCTCTGATCCCTCTCTGGTCTCTCTCTGGTCTCTCTCTGGTCCCTCTCTCTGGTCTCTCTCTGGTCTCTCTCTGGTCTTTCTCTGGTCTCTCTCTCTGGTCTCTCTCTCTGGTCTCTCTCTCTGGTCTCTCTCTGATCCTTCTCTGGTCTCTCTCTGGTCTCTCTCTCTGGTCTCTCTGGTCTCTCTCTCTGGTCTCTCTCTGATCCCTCTCTGGTCTCTCTCTGGTCTCTCTCTCTGGTCTCTCTCTCTGATCTCTCTCTGGTCTCTCTCTGGCCTCTCTCTTTGGTCTCTCTCTCACTCTAGTCTCTCTCACTGGTCTCTCTCTCTGGTCTCTCTCTCGCAGCACATACATACACTACAGTAGTACTCGAGTAGCAGCAGCACATACACTACAGTAGTACTCGAGTAGCAGCAGCACATACACTACAGTAGTACTCAAGTAGCAGCAGCACATACATACACTACAGTAGTACTCGAGTAGCAGCAGCACATACACTACAGTAGTACTCAAGTAGCAGCAGCACATACATACACTACAGTAGTACTCGAGTAGCAGCAGGACATACACTACAGTAGTACTCGAGTAGCAGCAGCACATACACTACAGTAGTACTCGAGTAGCAGCAGCACATACACTACAGTAGTACTCGAGTAGCAGCAGCACATACACTACAGTAGTACTCGAGTAGCAGCAGCACACACACAGTAACTTTACTCTAACATAATACCAGAGTACATGTACAGGGGTTCAGAACACAGACTTTCTTCTGCATTGTTCAGAACCAGTCCAACCACTTTTGGGCCGGGTCAGAGTCAGTCACAAGTCAATCCAGAAAGAATAAAGCTGAGAAGTGTCTCTGAGCGTCCAAAACACATGTGTGTAGAATGGATTCTGCTTTTTATTCATGTTATTGTTACTGAAAATCAAACATTTACATTTGATTCAGTTCATTCTTTAGTTCACTTCATTTGACATTTTTCGTGAGATATTCAAATAAATACTTTTTATCACACTACGAGCTAAAAACCACTATAGCTGATATTTATTACCTGAGCCTTTTGACTCCAAAACAAACAGATGGTTTAAAAGTGGAGTAAAAGTGTGTTGTCTCCGCTCATAAGTACAGACAGTAATGTAAACAGTAAACACTACAATCATGTGCAATACTTTAGTATGTCGCTGAAAGTTACTTTATCTACTTATTATCCTGCCAGATATGTATATAGTATATGTTTGTTAACATCTATATCTATATCTATACTAGGGCCTGGTACCGCAGGTCTTGGTCCTGTCCTGCTCTTGTCTCAGTCCTCTTATAACATTAGA